GCCCTGGGCCGCGCCCGCCCGCACCGCACCGCGGCGCCCTCGACGCTCGCCCTTTCGGGGACACGTTCTCCCCGCCCGCCCGCCCGCCACCACGAGTCGCTCGGCCGTCGACGCTCCGCCCCGCGATAGGGCCTGAGCTCGGGAAGGCCTGGGCTACTCGCGCCGCCCGGGTCGGGCCTGGGTCGGGCCTGGGGGGCCTCGGCGGCCCCGGCGTAGCCTGGTAACGTGCCGCCGAGCCCCGCCCCGCGGCCGGCCCGCAGCCAATCAGCGCGCCGGGGCCGGGCGGCGGCGGGCTGCGAGCGAGGCGGCCGGCGCGTGGTAGGTGCCGTTGAGGGTTCCCGCCACCGCTGCTGGCGGGTCTGCCTGGCAAAATTTCTCGCTGGCTGGCCTTCTTTTCCCTCCCGCACTTTGGTGGGGAGGGGGGGGACCCTCGCGTCGGTGGCCCGGTTCACGATGACCCGAGAGAACCCGAGGACGTTGTCAGCCCGGCCCTCTGCCCCATCGCCTCAGCCTGCTGGCCTCAGAGAGGAAGGAGCACCGAGGCGGTGACTGCGACGGTTAGCCCACCTCTTCCCTTTTGTGTTTTTGCAACGGTGGCCCGCGTCGAGGTGAAGGCCCGGAGGAGGAGGCGCTGGGGACGCAGGATTTTGGAAGAGGGTCTTAGTGAAGCCTTCCCGGGGCGAAGCTTTCCAGCGAAGCAGGGGACCCGAACTGACAGTCCCGAGCAGCCCCCTGCCTCCGTGCTTTCAAACGGTCGACCGGCGGGTCCACTGCTTAATCCCTGAGGAACTTAGACGTTGCCTCTCCCCGAGCCTTGTCGCCGCTACCCGTAAAATGCGCCCTAGGCTATATTGGTACCTCGGTCCTCACCCGCACGTTCAGCAGGGCTCCTAAAAGAATCATCTGTTCGTCCGCCCGTCCAGCAGATACACATGGAACACCCGCGGTGGGGTGTTAACGTTTCACGTGTCCCCGTGGTTTTAAAAGAAAAAAGGAATTAGGCTGACTTCCTGTCCTCGTGAATATTATTACAGCACAGTGCCAGGTGACAGGCCGATGAACATACGGCATATTAGAAAGTGGTAAATAATAAAGAAGAAAGGAAGCAGTTAGAACCACAGCAGGAGCCTTAAGAACAGGGAATGGAGTGAATTGGTTGCTTCTTTAAAAAAATCAATACCTTTATTTTTCTAAGTGAGCAGCTTGAAGTCTTCACTTGGGACTGATTTCCTCAACCTCTCAGGAAAAATGATGGCGTTTTCTTCTTAAACTTGAGGACAAACTAGTACTTCCATTGAACTCCTTTGTTTAAAAAAAAAAATTGTGAAGACTTTTTATTATTTAACAAATTCTAAATAAGGTCATATCTATTCGAGGTGGTAGATTTTATCTGGAATACAATATTTTCTAGAATATCATTAGTACTATTTACAATTAATAGGAAGTTTCCTTTGTTGAAACAGAAATAACTATTGTTTCTAATAGTAATACTTATTACTATTAATCTGTCTTTTGATTAACATGCCATATATATCTGTTACTTTGTACTATGATAGATTATTCACAATGACAGTAAATTTGCCTTTTTTATTTTAATCACGGGAACATCTAAGAGTGGTTTTGTTAGCCAATAAAATGGAAAAGCACAAAAGTAATAATGAAGTTTTTAATATGTTTCTTTAGGTTTTGGTTAGGTTTAGTTTTTTTTGTTTCACATTACAAGTTTCTTTGCTTGGACTGCTCCAGCACTTGGGAGGCAGGAGCCGGCAGGTTTCTGTGACTCCAAGGCCAGCCTGGTCTACATATTTCTAGGCCGTCCAAGGTTAATCAGTGAGACCTTGTCTCCAAAAAAAATTACATGCATTATGCAGACTGGGCAGCGTTGGGGCACGCCTTTAATCCCAGCACTGGGGAGGCAGAGGCAGACCGATCTCTGAATTCGAGGCTACCACTTCACCTAGATATGTATGAAATTTTCTGAAAGATCAGTCTTGTTTTCAGATGGATACAAATGTGTACTTAAAATTTTGGCTTTTAGGCTAAAATTACCCAAGTTTATTAACTGGTCAATGTTCTTTAACCAAAGACTACCAAGAACACATCAGTAGTTGAGTTGTCATTGGAAAAAGGAAGAAAGTACACCATGGGGCCTCTCAGATGTTAAGAACTTGATTTATACAATATAGGCTTGAGAAACTCTTAGGATTTCAGGTAGAAGGGCTTTTCCTAGAATGTGTATTGTGAGGAAATGGAACTGTTTCTATGATTGTGTTGAAGTAAGGTTGATAAAGGAGGAACAGTTGCTCAGGTTATCCTGGATAAAGAATATTGGGTAATTCTCATGGTTTGGACAGTGCTTTTGTTTTTATCAGTATTTGGACATGATTAAAGCATGCTTAGTTATATCTTGATCCATCATAGTTATAGTGACATTGTCTGATGTTGATAATCTGTAAACAAAAGAATACCACTGTCTGACTGTGAGTGTCAGGCCAACTTTCAACATCTGGACAAGATAGTTGGAGCAAAGTATCTCCAGCCATCTGGGTCTTTTTTTTTTTTCTCCCTCTCTAACTTCCTTATGAATTTAATGTTCTTTCTGGACAAATAGCATTCTTCATAATTATTTTAAGTATATTTGAGTAGTATGTTTATTAGCAAGGACTTCTCTAAAGTGAAGTACTTTCTTTCCTTTTTATACTCCCCAAAAGCTATAAACTCGAATTATAATCATCATAATTTTGGAATAAATGTTAAGTCTAATGTACGACATTTTGCCTAAATGATCATTTTGATGGTCCTGCATTAAAAACTCATGCCCAATACTGAAAGTTTAAAATGACTTTATTTTACAGCAAACAACAAATCAGACGCAAACAGATTCATTATCTCCATCCCCTAATCCTGTGTCACCTGTGCCTTTGAATAACCCAACAAGCACCCCAAGATACGGAACTGTGATCCCTAATCGCATCTTTGTAGGAGGAATTGACTTTAAGGTATCTGTCTATGGGTGCAGCAAGGTGGGAGTGTTTCACTTTTCTTTACAGTAGAATATCTCATTTTTCAGTCATTTCCTTATACAGCCATAAAATTATATTTGCATATTGCTTAATAGACTTCACATTGTCTTGTTTTAAATACAAATAACACTGTGTAGGTTAATTTGTGTGTGTATACTTGTCTAATCTCACATACAAGGAAATTGAGTTTTCTTTACTTGCTGTATGCCCCTTGCTACTGGTGAAATGAGACTAAAGTCTACCTTTCCTTCTTCATTTTTAAGTAATCTGTTTTTGCCACTCATTGCTCTATATTCTTCATTTTTTTAGCATACTTCAGTTATAGTTTCTTACATGATGCTCCAATTGCCTTTTATAATTGATCATTTCAATTTTCATGAAAACTTATTAATATAAGTATTTTAGTCTTGTAAAACTCTGTATCTTTATGTCAGCCTTTATGCTTGCATTCCTAAGTAATGTCCTAGACTTCAATTTCTTATAAATAGCTTTCTTTGATAGGATTTATAATCTGATAATTTAAAAGGCCTTGTGGTCCAAATAGAGAATCTGTACAAAAGTGTGCATAATCAGCTTATCAGCTATTTCACTCTTTCAGAAAAGCATAGTTAAAATGATTTGCAGTATTCTTACATAGAGGTACTAATAGGTATGTACAGGAAAGGTATACATGGATCTATTTCATCAAATACCTTTACCTGAGCCGAGTCTATAACTATAGAGGTCTGCCGAGCCTATAGAGACCCTCAGTTCAGTATGGACGCACGAACACACACCTTCCAGATGGATTTAAAAAACATTTCTACATTTACATATTAGAAATTATGGGGAGAAATGCTCTTGGAACAAAATGAACCACTATGTGTGATTTTTGACACATACCTTATTTCCATATACTCTATCACAATTTAAGTAAAATTGCTTTTTCTTTTATAAAATAATGACTTAAATATGTGATTATTTCACTATAAATAAATATCCTTTATAAAATACTTACCTTTGGAAAGATGTTTCTGTGCCTATGGAAAATATAGGTATTCCTGCTTCGAATTCATTCATATTAAACATCCTAGTAAACTTTTAAAGTGAGTATTGAATAAATACAGACATTTTCATGTAAGTCACTGAGGCACATCAAGGACAGTATGAATCTTAACTGTCATTGTTTCTATGTAGCCATAGGATTAAGGTAGCAGAATGTTTCCCTTGAGAAATATCTTTTTCAAAACCACAAATAATGGCCAGTAAGGAAATAATTTTCTGTAGTATCTTACATTCTCAGAAACCTCTTGTTTTTAGAAACCTGCAAACTGTCCCTCTTCAAGTTCAATCACATTGACTTTCTCCTTACTCTACAAAGCTGAGTTAGTGATTCTTCTTCCAAAGAATAGTTTTGGATTAATTTTTTTCTAAATATCTAGGAGCAATTCTTGTTTTATCATTGATTAAATTTTATATTTATTAGAACAAAAGCAATTCACCTATTCTGACAATTAGTGTTACAGGTCATTTTCTGGTTTAGCAAGGTTGATGTTACCATCCAAAATAACAAATAGTGTGTTTAAGTTAGTGAGGTAGCAGTTGAATTCAAAATGAGTGGTTGTGCTCTGGGACATTTCTTGGTTCTCCTTTATGTAAACTTAAAATTACACATAGAAGCAAAGAGTTGCAACTTAACCAAAAATAAAATTAATAGTGAATTCACTGTAAATACTGGGAATAGCTGTTATTATCTTATCTATTTCAGATCAAACCAGATATCCCCAAATCATCTTTGCACACATCTCAAACATTATGTCTGTTATTCTAATTTTATTTTGTCACCGTAATGTCTGTAGTTAGCTAAAATGTATGTTGAGTACAGATAAAATATCTCATAATTTGAAATGTTATAGTCACTTTGTAACTTGTTATGGAAAATTCAAGTATTGGGGGAACTGTATTTATTTCCTAAGACCTTAGTCTCCCTAAAGACTATGTTGATCATTATAAAGTGACTAAATTAGGCCATTGTGATCTAGTTTCAATGCTATAACTGCTTCCCTTCCCAAATACTAAAGCCAAGAGTAAGACAGGCTTACTGTATGTGATACAAGCTAGCATCCTTAAAGTCACTTAAAGATTCCTTTACATAGCATTCTTTGTGGTTTTAGAATAATTCAATTTAAATATTTTGACATATATATATATATGTATATAACCATACAGTTATCTACAACTACATAAAGCAAAGTACATACATTTTAATAAAAATGGTTTTTATTTTTCAATGATGAGAGGTACTTTTCAGTTTGTTTTCTATATTGTTTATGTTTCCAACAATAAGCATCAGAGTTGTTTCATCTTTTATTGAAATGTTTCCTAATGTTTTCTTTTTATGTCACTAGACAAATGAAAATGATTTAAGAAAATTTTTTTCCCAGTATGGGTCTGTAAAAGAAGTGAAGATTGTTAATGACAGAGCTGGAGTGTCCAAAGGGTTAGTATCATTGCACATAATATATAGCATAATAAATTGTATTTTGTTGGGTTAGGTTTTGTATGCTGATATGCATTGTCTCCATTTTTAAGTAGGGAATTCTATGCCCACTTTTCTCAAATATTTGTGCTGGGTGGGTGGGAGGGTGTATATGTGTGTTTTGATGGAAATAGAGAGGATTCTATAATATTTCTTAATCTAAAAACTTACTTTTGCATGGACCAAGGGGCCATTCAGTATAATATGACAAAAAAAATATTGAGAGGCAAATGTATAATAGCTAAAGAAGGAGATACTTTCGGAATTGTATTCTTGCTTTAAACTGTAAGAGAGTTTATTTGAAAATTGCTAACTCCAAAGAATATGTATGGTCTGTGGCTCAGAATCTAATTAAGGAGAAAATGAGAAATACCACTCTAATGAGAATGATTACTTGTCAAACCAAGAAGAATCGTGATGATTTAAAAGAGAATGGCTCCCATAGGCTCATAGATTTGAATGCTTGGTCATCAGAAAGTGGCACTATTTGAAAGGATTAAGAGTTGTGCCCTTATTGGAGGAAGTGTGTCATTTGGGGTGGGCTTTGGGTTTTCAAAAGCTCAGACCGGACCCAGTATATCTCTTCCTGCTGTCTGCGGATCCAGATTTAGAACTCTTGGGTCCTCTTCCAGCACCATGTTTGCCTGCATGCTGCTATGCTTCCTACCATGATGACAGTGGAATAAACCTCTGAAACTGTAAACAAACCCCAATTAAATGCTTTCCTTTTTAAAAGTTGCCATGGCCATGGTGTCTCCTCACAGCCATGGAACAATGACTAAGACAGAAGTTGGTACCAGGGAGCACAGTATTACAGTGACAGGCCTGACCGTGCTGCTTATTGGCAGAGTTTGGACTTTGGAACTTTGGATCAGGAAAGCACGTGAACGCTATAAGCAGGGTTTAATGGGCTATACCAGGAGGGACATGGAAGACAGTGATGCTGAGAAAAACATAACATGTGGCTCAAGAGGTTTCAGAAGAGAAGAATATTAGTAACTAGCCTAGAGACTGTTCTTGTGATATTTGAACAAAGAAACTGGCTGCTTTCTGCCCTTGTCCAAAAATTGCCTGAGGCTAAATGAAGAGATTTAGATTATTGGTGTTGGCAGAGGAGATTTCAAGACAGCCTAGCATTGACTGTTGTTATTAGCAGTCACACTTCTATAACATTGTTAGCAGTCACACACACACAAAAAGAAGTAAGCTGAGCAAGGAAAAATACAAAGTGTACAGTTTTGGAAGTAATGGAGCTAAGTCCAGTACTCACAGAAATGAAAATAGTTTAAGAAATGCCTGATGTTAAGTGGAATGAAGGGACTGGTGACCTCAGGGCAAGATCCCACCCTTTTAGGCTTCCAGTTTGTGGAAAGGAACTAAGGAAAAGCTTTCGGAACCATCAACAGCAGAAGGCTGGGACAAATGTGTTTGAACAAAGGGGCCAAGTTCCAGTCTCAGTACTCAGCTGAGAGCTTGGCAGCTTCAGCCACATGGTTCTGACTTTAGTGTCAAGAATACAAAAAAAAGGCTGTGGAATCTTCCTCTGTGGCTGAGGAGACCTGCTGAGGCCTGGCATATGTCAGGGGTGTTCTTGCATGGAGGCTCAGAGAAGACATTGTGTGAGGCTGTGAAGGTGAAGCCTGGATTTCGTGGAGACTCCAAGATGTCGGAGATGCCAGAGCGTTGGGGTACCTGAGAAAGCTGGAGAAGTGGTATGGAACCAGCCCACGAGAGAGAAATGTGCTGCTGAAAGGAGTTGCAAAGGGAACTTTGCAAAGTTGCAAAGGAGTTGCAAAGCTCTGAAGGGAGCTTTGACATCAGACATAGAAATTCACAATTTGGAGTTTTCCCTGCTGGTTTTCAGTCTTACTTTGGTCCACTATTTCCTCACTATGCTCCTTCCCCCGTTTTAGAATGGTAATGTATGTTCTGTGCCATTGTATGTTGGAAGTATATGTTAGACCTTTTGATTTTGATTTTACAGGGGTTGTAGTTAAGAGAGTGCCTTGAGTCTCAGAAGAGACTTCAGACTTTTAAATGGTGTTAAGCCTGTAACAGTCTATGAGGACTTTCGAAGCTGGACTAAATGCATTTTGCATTATGATATGACTATAAGCCTGTGGGGACCAGGGATGGAATCCGGTGGTTGAAAGGGAATGACTGCACACCCCCCCCCATGGGTTTATGTATTTGAATGCTTTATCACCAGGGAGTGGAGATATTTGAAGGCATTAGGGGGTGTGGCCTTATTGGCAAGCCCCAATTAAATGCTCTTTCAGAGTTGCCATGGTTATGGTGTTTCTTCATGACAATATGCCAGTGATTAAAACTAGAATTAGCATTGAAATTAGTAGACTGTGTTCTGTAATGTAAAGAGCTGTTTCAGGATTTCTGTGTGTACAAAAGCCAAAATTTTCAGAGGGAAAGGGTAGTATGCATAGAACATTTATATAAGGAGGTTTGGTTTGGTTTGGTTTGGTTTGGTTTGGTTTTTTTCAAAGTCAAAAATGAATAGATAAGGCATTGGAGGTGAGTAAAGGGAAGATTGTGGGGTTTTTCCTTAAAACAGAGAAACATTTACAATATTAATAGAAAAAACATTAAGGTAGAAAACAGAATTAATGAGAAATGACATAAAAGAATATGGCAGAGACTAATGTGAAAGATACAGTGTTTTCACAAAAATTCTTTATAGCAAAAAACTTCCTGAGACTGCCAAACAATACTAAAATGAGTTGAGATTGTATCTTTTCACTTGGCAAAAAAGAATTTACATTATTTTGGAAATTCTCACTTTTGTCCTTGAAAAGCATAGAAAATCAAATGTAACCCAGCATTCTTGAGACTTGCAAAATGGAGACTAGCCTGGGTTACTGCCCTTTCCAACAAAACAACAACAAAAACGGGTTCTGCACTCATCCCTGGTACCTCAGAAAAGAATCAGGGGGAGGGGAGAAAAACACATTAAATTAGAAAGTGCATCTCCATGACCCAATGAATGAGAATTGAGATAATAAAAGATTCTACTCTTTTATTGTAAGTGTAAGATTAAAAGTGTAAGATTAGAAGAACATTACCAATTATAAAAGAGGAAATAGGACAGCTGGAAGTGTATAGAAACAGAATAGTGGCCCAATAAGGAATAATTGCAAGTGAGGGAGCCTCACAGCAGCCTGTCCCAGCTCTTGAATGGGAAAGAACTGTGGAAGAATTAAGGAAGGGCCAGGTCCAATAGGAAGTTCAGACAGCAGGAGATTCCAACAATGAAGAATATAATGGGCCAATCTCCTGTGGCTAGGAGACAGCCATGTCTGTGAATACTAACAGCCCTGAGCCTGGGATTAGCACTCCGACTCTTGGAGCCACATCTGGGTACATGATTTAACTGCTGACATGCTAGAGGGTATCTTAAACACAGGTCAAAGTTAGCCCTCAACTTCTGAAGCCTCCTCTGTCCTAGAGCGTAATTAATGGTTAATGGGATTTGAAAGCACTACAGCTAATCCTTCAGTGCTCTGTTTGTCTTTCCTACTCCTCAAAACACTTTGAAACACTTTGGCTTAGCCAAGGCTTTGCCAGGTTGTCCAAACTAAGGAATTGCTGGAACAGGGAAGAATCTGTCTGGCCATAGAAGCTCCTGATACACAGTAAAGACAAAGACAAAGCAAAGATAGCCTGGAGCTTGTTGACACTTGGCACTTGGCTGTGCAGGCTCAGCACTAGCCTAAATCTTAGGGCAGACAGGTGACACCATTTCCAGCTGCACACTGCTGCTCACATATTAGAGGAACAGACAAACTGCCCCCAATATTTATTTTGTCTTGGTTATTTTATTTTGCATGGGTATATTTAGGGCTTTGAATTTATCCTTTTTCTTTTTTACTACAGCTTTGTATTTTTTGACTACAATTTTTACTATTTTTTTTTCAAAAAAAAGATGATTATCCATTTTATTCCTCTTACATTTTATTTTACTTGTACATTTTTCCTTTATTGTGCAATCAGAATTATTTAATAGTTTGCTTTTTTCTTACTTCACAACATATTCTGCATTCTGTTTCCTTTCTTTCATTTAACCTTGCTTTCCTTTCTCTTTCCCCTTACCCCGTCTTCTATTATTTCAATATCTTACTGTTTTTACTTTTGCCCTAAGTTTTTAAAGTAATGATTTATACGTTATTTTTGTCATTTTCCAATCTGTGGTCATTGGTGTTATATTATTTAATATCAATCAGTTTTAAGTTTATATCTCATCTGCCTTTGTTTAGTGTTCTAGCTATGAAAGCTGTTTGTTTCTCTTTGGTGAATTGTAGTGGGTATTGAGCCATGAAGAGAATGCTCCTTACTTACTAAGAAGGTTTCTTTTAAGAAATAGAAGATATATCCATACCAATAGATATATAAATGACAAGCGTAAAAAGGCCTGAGCACCCATAGATCATGACTCCTTTATTTTCAGATCTAGATACAGTAAGTAAAATACTGAACAAAGAATTCAAAAATCTTGTAAAATGGCCAGTGACTTCAAATTGTATACAAAAAAGTCAATAAGTAACATAAGAAACTTAATTCAAGATCTAAACAACAAAGTCAGAAATAAACATGAGGCAGGCTCTCAGGACTGCCGCTGAGGTCAGTGGGAACAAACAAGGTGCTCTGTTTTGTCTTCTGAAAGCACTGGGAAACACTATCACTATCAAACCAAAGACCAGTCAAGGAGGGAACTGAGAAATACACTGCTTAACTCGCAGGATTGTGCCAAAAATTTAGTCCAAAGGGTTCAAACTACTGGGGCAGTACATCCCCAAATCTGATTTAATAATGTAAACTGAGATTGGTAGTTATACCTCTCTCATCAGCACAATAAGTACTGAAACATCCCAGTGAGAGAAAGAATTCAAAACTCATCCTTCCAAAATAAAATATATCCAGTGTGAGTTTTTAAGAGCTCAGTATACTTT